TAACTCAGAAATGACAAAGTAAATAAGTCACAAAGTATAACTGAATTAAATAAATTTGCCAAGACTGTGGAAGCCGTTTATGGTCTGAGGATGATCATTCTTCTTCAAGCTTTTTCAAAGTGTTCATGGCGAGTATCTTCGGATGAGAACCATCAATCATATTTTTAGTAAGTTCATCGATAATAGTTTCACTCTATCTTTCGAATTTTTTATGTTCACTAGTTCTATGGTCATGAACCGTGAACGCTAGTGCTGTTTCTCTGGTTGGAAGTTTGGAATCTCAATTTATATTATATATATATTGGGTGATATAGATGTTTGTTTTAATTATGGTTTTAGTTGATAATAAAATGCATGGTTTCCTCTTGTCTCTTTCTCCTATATGCAAGGTTTCCTCTTAGTTGATAATTAAAATGCAAGGCCAATTGTGCACAAGTTTGGAATTTGTATACCTTTTGGTTCTTTACAAAATGTTCATTTCCTCTAAGAGAGTTATAAATTCGCAACTTACCTTCGCCACATATATATATCGCATGCACCACCACATTTTAGCGACTGAGTTGCATATCCCACTGCACTTCTAGTCAGATGAGGCCACACACATTTCTCAAGCCTTTGCCTTCATTTCAGTCTTTCGAAGAAAAGAAACAAAGAGAACATGCGAATATATCCAAATTCTAACTAATTTCTAAGGCATACATATAGAGCTTTTACGACTACACCAGAAATTATGACCATCAATTTGCTTTACCTCATGACCCCGAGTGACATATTCATTGGCATACTTGTTCATAATTGGCCTGGAAAGTCGAACATCAAATATTGTGCTTGGATAATAAGCATAAACACACTACACCATCATTTACAATTATTGAGGCTATACTAGTTTGCGAAACACCTCCTCAATCAATTTTACCTTTGGTTAAGGAGGATGTTGTTATTGAGTCTTGGAGAAGTCTTTTCGATGGAAATGGAGATTTTGACATATGAGTGTTTCGATGCATGACCCTAGGAGGAAGACCAATAAAACCAACTCAAAATATACAAGAAATGCATTAATGGTCAATCATGGTTGCGGAGACCGTGGGTCACTAAACTAAGCAACTCTAGTAAGTTCATTCTTCTTTAGCTCCTTGGACACTCTTTTGAGTTTAAATTGTCCTCATAAGCTAGCTAATTTACTAGTTTATGTGTATGTAATCTCTCAAACTCTGTGACCCTTAAAGTTATATATAGCCATGTAATCAAGTTGTAGAATCACACTTATTTTTATTAGCCATGTAATCAAGTTGTAGAATCATACTTGTTTTTATTAATAAACCAATCATCAAATACAAGTACTTTTTTTTTTTAAGAGAAAAAAAAAAAAGAAAGCAGAGATACAAAAGAATTCCAGAAACCATAAAGTGACCTGTTTCCAGTATCAACAGCAACAAAAACTAGAGAGACATCTTTATATGACAGATTAACCACAACAAAATCATGACAAATGAAATGAAGCTTGTTACAAATTTTCTCCTTTATAGAAGAACAAGCCTCTAAAACTCAAAAACAACAAACTAACATCACTAAATGCTTGTAATAAAATCAACCTTGTCTCCCAAACAGAAGCTATTCTTAATCCGCCCTAACCTTCTTATCGTCAACACTTGACTTACTAAGTATCAAAACTCCAATGGTGATCGATAAAGCTCCCGCAAACCACTGCCAATTTATCAGAAATCTATCAGCCAAACTCATTCACCAAGAACACATGAATTCTTGATAACCCAACACAAACATTTTCAACATCTTAAAACTTACTTGGAATGATAATGATTCTTGAAACAGAAAGAGACCAGCTAAACCGGAAGAGAGGAAATTAGCAGCAAAGTTAGTGACCGTAGCTTGTAAAGAAGAGAGAGCTCTTAAGCTGTTTACATAACATCCCCACATAACCACATTGCACAACACAACTAAACCATACTTAATCACCTGTAAGAAAGAATACACAGAACCAATAAAACACACATGGAAATTTAGTAGCTTCTAAGAGGCTCAAGAAGATTCAAAAGATTTGATGTTTGTAATTAATTACAAGAGATGAGAAGAATTTTGCAGAGATTGCGGCAAGAGCTGCATTAAGCCCAGCAGAAATTGCCCAGATGTAACCTCTTTTCTTCTTCAAGTGTAAATCAGCCATTGATGATCAAATCTTGTTGTGAGGTTCTATGGTTCCACAAACAAAAAATCAGAGAAAAGTAATCGAATTTCAATCAATTGTTTTGGTTTTTTTTGTAGGGTTTATAGAAAATTGAAGTGTTTTCGTGAATTTCTTGAGCTCTAATCAACTTGACATACCTTCGATTGCTGCAATATCGAAATCTGAAATCGG